TTTTTTTCCTATATTTAACAACATGTATCATGTGTTGCAAATAAAAATCATTTTGTTTTTTTATTCTTTTTTGGTAACAGGTTAAGGGTATTTTCAAGGTTTTGCCTAAGTCTATTTCCCTCCTGAGTGATTTTTTTCACATTGGTTTGTTGCATTACAATGATGGAACCCTAATTGAACAAAAAAAAAAAAAAACCAATTAAACTAACCATTTTGCACCAAAATTGCACTAAGTACCCTAAGCGAAGCCTGGACAATAATGTAGTAAATGATGATAATGATAGGGAAATTAATGTCCATTACTCTACTCCACCTATACTTGACCAAAATGGCTTAAAAAATTAACTCAAAATTGGCTTATGTGGTCTCTTTGTTATGGAAATTTCGACCAAAATACTTTGAAACTTTGCCGTCCTAAATTTCTGTTACATCAACCTTTTTTTATCAAAATTTATCCTTTCTGCTTATCACTCACGGCAATTTGGTCTTACCGTGTGGAAGGTTGTACAAAGTAAGTCAAGCTTTGTCCGTTTTTCGTGACCAAAAAACCAAAACCTTGCAATTTTCCTCTCGCGAACCACTTGGCTGATGTTGTTTGGACCACAAATGTTATAGTCTATTTTAATTAATTAGGAAGTTTCATAGAAGGGGAATTGGAAGAATTAGTTTTATTTAAGTTCTAGAATATTAAAACATTTTTTATTATGACAGCCAGATCTATCTTCGAGTATTATCCGTATTTAATCACATCTTCAAATGATTTTAAATATTTTTTTTTTTTTGTAAGACATAATGTATTATATTATGCAACATTTAATATTACCGTCAATGAAAAATCACAGATAAAACCTAAGAAAAGATACTATCAATGCCAACGACTTAACAATTAAGTCAATCCCTTGATAATATCGTAACACTATGTTAATTAGTTTGCAACAGTTAGATACATTAACTATTTCAATTTTTAAAAAATTATAGGGTTTTCAAGAAATGATTCTTTTGTAGTAAGAACTTATTTTAATTTCTAATTTTTTGAATTTAATTTAATTAATTAATCACAATAAAAATGACCAGTAAAGAAATAGGTGTGGAAATGGTCCAAAATTATGTAGAATTAGTGTGGGAAATGGCATCACATCATAGCTCTATAATTCAAGAGTTATTACATGCACGTTTTTTTTAGAATCCATATTCTAAAAAAAATTGATTTTGTTTGTATATATAAATTTACCCCAAAGAGAGTGTTTATATAAATTACAAGTAAAAGCAATAAATAAAATTAAAAGATTACATAGATGTATGGATATGGCATCGCCAGCACACTGAGGGAATGAAAGTCGGCATAAAGAAAGCTAATATAAAATTCTGAATGAGTAAGATACAATTCAATTTTAAAATCGTTAAATTATAACGAAATATTTAATATGATAATTAAATTTTAAAAATTTTTAATTTAATATTTAAATTATGAATCTATTAAATAATATGATATTGAAAAATTATTTATTCGTCACGTATTACTATTTGAAATTAATCATGTTAGAAAATTGATTATATTAATTAACATATTTATAATTTAAGTACGACATTAAAATTTTTAAAATTTAAATACTATATTAAATATTTTACTATAATTTAAGGATTATTTATAAAATTAATAAATTATTTTATAGTTTATGTTCTCCAGAAGAGACTTTTCCAGTTATAATTAAGCAAAATTTTAATTTACAATTTCCAAATTAGAATATTCTAAGGATGGGGTTGTTTGGTTACAATTTAATTAATGTCACTACGGCACTGCAATTTGGAAGTTAATCTCTCATTTTCTTCTAGAATTACTAAGACTTTGAAGGGGAAAAATAAAATAGAATTTTCAATAATTTTTAATTTGGTATATACACACTAGTACAAGAAGTTACAATATAATGAATATACGTTACATCACCCAACGATTTCTAATTTTTAATCGCCAAATATATATCTAATTTTTGACTAATTTTAATCAATTGAAATGTCATTCAATTAAAGCGTCATTAATCAACTTAATTACTTGATAAAGTCAATTTGCCCAAATTTTTTAAATTCGTTGTCGTTTGATCAAAATTTTATTGTTTTAAACATAATCGAGTATTAAATTTAGATGGCCAAACTCCTTATCAGACAAAAATACGTTCTTGCACCAAATTAAGGGTTTATGAGAATAAAAAATTGCTTGATTATAAATTAATATTAATATAAATTAGAGAAAAATCGATTCAGAAAAAAAAAAAGAAGTGAACAAACTTGAAACATGCATTGGGATTTACAAGCAAATCATCAAAGGTCATACAAACGAGTTCCACACCTTTGAATTATTGGAGTTTGATATTCGTCAATGGCTTCTATTTGGCATGTAAATGCATGTTAGCGAAACACATAAAAAAAATTAATTACCTAATACAAAATTTTAAAGTATTCAGCAATTTGTCAAATTTCCCATCTTTTGGAATTTATTTGACAATTTGATGCGTACGGAATTGATTTTATGTGATCAAGTTATATAATTCCAAAATAATCTCAATTCTTTTTTGCCCTACCTTCAAACAAAAATTTACTTTTGAGTGACACCACCAACTTTGAACATGGATTATTGCACCTAATTTAAACCATTTTTATTCTAATAAAGCCCTTTTTTTCTTTTTTTATTATAAAATTTGGCATAGCATGGAGATCTAGAAAAATATATTGTAATTACTCGAATTTAAAATCTAGATTTATTGAATCAAATTTAAATTCTAGATTTATTGAATTTACATTTTCTTTTAAAAAATAATTGCATAAATTAATTGAACTAAATTTGAATTTAAAATATTGATATTTGACTCTTTTTGTTTTTTGATTACTTCTAAGATTTAAACTCGAAATCTTTACTTTTAAAACGGATTTCAATATCACTGAACTAATAGTTCATTGATTTTTTCATCTTCATCTTAATTTTTTTTAAAATTTAAGTTTACTTTATAAATTTATAATTAATTACATTTCTAACTTTTTTTATGGGACAAAATTTGCTGCAAACACTCCTTGTTTTGGTTAAAACCAAATAAAATGTACACCTTGTCAAGTAAAACAGTTTACTCAAGGAAGTCATTAATTATTAAAAAAAATCACTAATTAAACAAACTTAATGAAATATAATAAAAAAAATTAGGGGATTTCTGGTTAAGTCAGCATGAAATACAAAGTTGACTAGCCGCCACCTATTTGTTGTTTTGTTTGATCTTTTGTTGAACCACCCCTCATTCTCCTGCTTTGTCATTTTTTTAATTTAAAAATCTTTAATACTTCAACAACACTTTGCAAACTAAGGTTGCATATAAATTAATTATTAGAGATTTGAAATTCAAATTTTCGTAAATAAATAAGTTGATCAATTTATTTATCATCGTATAATTTTTTATTACGTGTAAAAATTAAAAATTTATAAGGAGAAGTTCAAATGTGTGTGTGAAGCAATTTGTGGGTTTCATGGAAAATTAAACAAAATCAACAACCCAACAAAGAAAAAAAATTGTCTAATAGATAAACTCTTTAGGGAATAGTCACTAAAAAGATTTGGCTTCGAGTCTATGACACGTCAGAAGTAGTAGTTTTAAGCTCAAAAGTAACAATGTGGGAATTTAGAGTAGTGCCCACGAATTCAATATGACGTCGTCGCTAATAGTAAAAGCAAAGATGTGGTGCATTGTTTGGCACGACTATTTCAGGCAACGAAAGGAAGATTCTCGTGAGATTGAATATTGATTGGTTTTTCCCAAGTTTGTTAGTGAAAGATCTAATAAGCGATGACGAAAGAATTGTGAAGCAAGTTGATATACTTAACAAATCGTATTGTTTAGCTTTTGTAAGGAAGCCTCTTTACAAATTGGATAATATTCCTATGTACATCTTAATTATGTTGACTTTGTGTACTTGATGGAAAATTATAATTAAATTTCAATGTCATCTAGAGAGGAAATTTTTATTTAATTTAAGTATTTAAAAAATAAATATTTGAACATCTCGAACATTTGATTTACTGATAAATATAGATAAATATATAAATTATTTAAAAAGCTTGATTCAAATCTTTTCCATCCCTAATTAAAAAATTAATAAGATCTTAAATTTAAACTATCACCCTCATTTATGATAAAAAGAAGAATATCATTTATGTACTTAAATTAATACGGGTTGATCCAATTAATAAAGAAATGAATTCTCTTTCATTTATGCACTTAAAATCATTTGAAAAAAAATTAGGTTCAAATTAAATTCGAAGACATTCCAAAATTGTATTACCAATAAAAAATTAATGTACTTAAAATTATAATATAAAAATATTTTTTTTTACATAATTTACTTGCAAATTGAGTAATATTTACTTGTAAATGACTTTTTAGGCATATATGATAAGGTTGCATAAATTTGCGTTATCCTAAAGACCTAAGACAGGAAGTTCAATAAAAAAAAAAGGTGTGAAAACATATAAAGATTATTCCTACTTATCAAGTCACCAACTCTACATGTAAAACTCTATCTTTACTTCGTTGGTTTATGTTCACATGAAATGAACCTACTATAAGTAAAATCATACAACCAACCAGAAACTGCCACCTAACTTTCCAAGACTTTCAAGTCCACGTGGAAACAGATCATTGGGTGTGACCAGTTACAGGATTTTTCTGAGAAAGTTCGAATCTTCTAGAGGATTGAAGATTCTAACTTCTAAGAAAGACCTCCAACTCGCTTCAACTCACGGGGCTTGTCTCAGCAACTCGGTCATGCTGACGTGCACATCAGCCGGCTGATTTCGCACTCAAACTCTCTACACGCCAAACTATTTTTTAATTCCCAAAATCCCCATGACTTTATTGGCTTATCAAGCAAGTAAAACAAGGGCACAAAAGTCATTCCAAAAGGTCAACTTTAAAAGTTAAAACTTACATTTCTCACACTCAAACCAAACCAACCTATAAATATACCAAACCTCACGTTACCCTAAAGTCCCATTTTACTTGTTTTCCTTTGAAATCAAACATCAAAAACAACTTGCATTTTCACACCATACCCCAAAAAGAAGAAACCATGAAGAGAAGCTTTTCCAATATAGAGGTTGAGAATAATTTATCTTTGGCAAATTGTTTGATGCTCCTTTCACAAGGAGGAAACAAATATGAACTTGCCATGGACAATAGTATCCCTACCCGGGTTTTCGAGTGCAAAACATGCAATCGACAATTCCCTTCGTTTCAAGCTCTAGGGGGTCACCGAGCGAGTCATAAGAAGCCTAAGTTGACGGAGGGAGATGCCGGGACGGAGAACCATCCACCGGCTAAGCCTAAGACACATGAGTGTTCGATTTGTGGACTCGAATTCGCGATCGGGCAAGCGTTGGGGGGACATATGAGGAGGCATAGGGCTGGTTTGAGTGAAAACCAGCATGGTCCTTTGAGTTCGTCTGATGATCCAGCGATGACACCAATTGTGAAGAAATCTAATAGCAGAAGGATTTTGTGCTTGGATTTGAACTTGACTCCTTCGGAGAATGATCTGGAATTGTTTAAGCTTGGCAAGGCAGCTCAACCAAATAGATTGTTTCTTGTAAACTCTTCCTTCTAATTCTAGCCACATAGCTTTTTTTTGAGGGGGAGGGAGGGTTTCTAGTATCATTTGCTATTTGTTCATTAATTTAATTACAGATAGAGATATGATATATATACATCACTATATTTCATTTTCTTTTTAAATCCATATTTTTTCTGATTATAATTTTTTTGGTGAATTTGTTTCATCAACATGATGCAAGATGATGCATATACTAATTTCTATGATGGATATATTTCCAAATGAATTTTTTATAACTACCAATAATTAAAATTTGATTATTAAAATTAAAAACCTGATATTTTACTAATAGATCATATGAAATTGGCATTTTCAAAAGGAATTACTATTTAGTACAAGATTAGAAGCATGCCCAGAAGATGCAAAGCTTGTTCTTCATGTTTCATCACTTTTTTTTTGTTTAATATTAATTTTATTAATGGACAAAGCCTGGGGTAAAAAAAAAAAAAAAGGAGAAATTATTAAAAGTAAATTAATGTTGAAATTTTTTATGAAGAGTAGTTTACATTTGCTATAGGATTAAATTAGCTAAGGGTTGATCTAACTTTTTTTTTCTCTAATTTAAAGGAAATGTTGACAGTTTTGTAAAGATTTTAAGATATTGTATATTCATTACGCTATAGCTAGTATTGTTAAGACTTTGTATTTTATGGATTAATTAAACTAGCTAGTGCTTGATCTCACTTAGAGAAGCACAAGTCTCTTGCTAGCTTGATTTTTAATTCAAAATGATTTCTTTTTATTAAATGAATTTCTCTCTTTCTCCTTCTTTTAGTTATATATTGTTACATATTCAATAAAATCTAAAAGAAATTTAGTTAACAAAATAAATTAGAGTTAACAGTTGTATGATCTACTAGTAGAATATCAAATTTTTAATTTCATTAATCAAATATCAATTTCTCATAACTTCAAGTATTAAAGAAAATAAATTGAGAAATTAAGTTAACCATTTTTCTGTATAGCTTCCCAATTCCATTAAAGAAAAAAAAAAAAACACTCTTGAATTATGCTTTCTTTAATTTCCATAATTAATAAAACTGTCACTAATTTTGCTTTTCAAAAATAAAAAATAGAAAGCTCTTGGAGTGGAAAAAATATTAATTGTTAGTTCAATGATTTATATACAGTGGCAATTAATATTTTTAACTTAATTTTGACAAAATATTTTTATATAGAAATGAATTATGCTTTGAAAATAGGATTTCATTGTACAAACTGGTTTTGGATTGGGCTTCCATGCAGGATTTAACAATTACTGTGTGTCCAATTGGCCCATAGACTCAGCTCCTGACTGCCAGCCAACCTTTTGGGCTTCTTGCTTTAGTGGAATATCATCTTTAGGTTTATAAAATAATTTTTACCCTTATAAATTACACAGTTTTTCCCTTCTAAAAAGGATGACAACTTCTTAAAGACACTTATTTACCCCGATTATTTTCGAATTAGTTGACATGAGATTTTTATTGGTGTTTGGAGATTATGAATTTTAAAAAAAATTTATATATAATAATTTTTATTAAATAAATATAAAAAATAAAAGGTCAAGGTTAGAATAAAAAATTTAAAAAATTTATTTAACTTGAAAAATATCATTTTTTTTTTATTCTCCAATGTGGTACCTAAGAGTTAGATTTGACTAGAAATAAAAATTTATGAAATGAAAGAGAATTATTTCCTTTCTTTTTATATGTTAAGACTTATAAATTTCGAAATATATGCATAAAAATGTTACATTCTATTAAGGACATTCAATGATAATAATTGTCGATAATCGTGTAATTTATTGATAGAATATTAAATTTTTAATTTTAATAATCAAAATTTAATATCTAATAATTTCAAATAAAAATAATTTTTCTCACAACACTCAAAGGAGATAGAGATAATAAAATGATATAAAAAATAAGATATTTATTCTTAAAGTAGGTTCATGTATTTCATAATATTTCCTAATTTTCAGCTTAGTTATATCTAACTTTAAAATTTATCAATTCAAAAAATAAAAGCAAAAATTTTATGTTATTTTGCCTTATCATGAATTTAAGCACACACAAAATCATATACTTATCATGATTAGAATTATAAAAAGACTGTATGGTTTTGTTGTATTCTATTCTAACCTGTTCTTAGCTTATGAAAATTATTTCCTCAATCAAGTCCTTCAGTCAATTGTAACATATTAGATATTGTTGGAAATTAATAATCAACATCCAAAATTGTGTATTTTTTATTTCTTGCCAAGCAATTCCAGCACCAACAAAATATGTGAACAATGACAGATCTAGGATTTTTCATCAGTGGGGCTAATATTTTAACTAAATTTATTAAATTTTTTATTGAAATACAAATTAATATAAAAATTTTTAAACAAAATTAACATGTATAACAATTTTTTATGTCATAAATACAATATTTGAATAACTAAAATTAACTATATAATTACCAGAGAATATAACTTGAACACTGTAGATACATGCATATATATAAATATATATTAATTTAATAAAATTTTATGGATTTATAGAAGTCTTAAAATAAATGTAATATGTGAAAGAATAAAAATTAAAGTGTCTAATTTTATTATCTACTTTTATTTATTTTTCCATGGAAAATAACAAATGCTTATTTCCTTATATATAAGGAAAACAATATTTTCTTATATACAATAAAAATAAGGAAGACATGTTAGTTAAAGTTTTTTTTTTTATTCTAATTAGTTCATTCTTTATATGTTATCTATATGAATTTTAAAAGTTTTTTTTATTTTTTTTCTTACAAAATTAATATATATTATAACGAAATTGCTTATCACTCAAAATATAAAATGTTGAATTTTTTAAATAAATTATTCAATTATTAGATAAAAAATACAAACTTTTCTTTTATAAGTCTCAATTTAACGAGGGCAACTATGATAAAAAAAAAAAAAAAAATTAGTGGGAGCAAAGCTTAAATTTTCTAAAATTTATAAGATTTTTTTTATAATTAACTTATAAAATTTTAAGATCTTAGTGCCCCAAGACCCCTTATGTAGATCCTCAAGTACCCATATATTGCACAACATGCTTTTATAAACGTTTCTACCCCATATATTACCTCTCCTCGTCCAATCATTAAACATATGTTTTAATAAATATTATTTTTCTTAAAAAAATATTATTTAATTTCATTTTTTATGCATAAATGGAAGCTTTTTTTTCTTCTTATTATTGTGGAGTGACTCAGGTAAGAAACATTGCGCCTTTTATTGAGTTTTTTTTCTTTTAACCCACACACATTTAGATTAGATATGACAATATAAAATATTATATAATGATAAAATACGAATATGATATAAAATATATATATAAATAATACGATTTAAAATTTTAATAATAATTATATATAAAAATTTAATAAAATAAAAATATATTTTATATTTTTTTATCGACATATAATTTTTATATAAAATATATTAGACCTAATTTAAATTTCCTTCGCATCTACATCGAGGCCACAACTTAAGGTTCTGGGCTATTTTGGGACATAGATATGTGTTGGCCTCAAGTAGGATATTATTTAACTTTTGGACTTCTAAGGACTGAATGAAGACGTTTACCATTGAATCAACCTGAGATATTATTTAATTTTGTTTAATTGTTAACAAAAAGTATGAACATGAAACCTCTTTTATTTTATTACAATATTGACAAATTTTAGAAAAAAAATGTTATAATATTTGAATATTTATGATTAATATTACTTTAAATTCAATAAAAATATATAATATAAAATTTGGCAGATACTAGAGAACATAAAAATCAACAATGATCAAGGTCTCACCAAATAAATCATAGAATTGATATAAAATGTCTAAGGTGATTTTTGAAATTAGTAACATTCCAACAATTAAATTACAAAGAAGCTAAGGAGTACAGAAAAAATTAGTAAAAAAAATTTAATGCCAGAAATAATTTCTTTTTAAAAAAAAAAAAACTTATAAAAATTCTTTGTTAAAAGTATGGAGTATATAAAATGTAACATTATCTTTTAGAATCAATACACTATCATGTAGGTAATGTTATCAAAAAATATATAAAATGTTGGACTCTTAATTTCAATAATCATAATTCAAAATTTCGTGTCTCAAGAATAAAAAATATGTTATCAAAATAAATTAACTAGTAAGTATAATTTCTTTTTTTAATTTTAAAGGTATCAATTTATATAATAATTCAAAATTTTGGGAAAGATGCTTGATGGAAAGGTTGAGACTGGTGAATTAAGATATGGGCTATTGGTTCAATAAGCTTCCATCATTGATCATTCATGTGAATTGGTAATTAGAATCACATAATTTTCATGTTCCCAAATTTTGTCACAACCATAATATTTAACTCTTGAACCTTTCATAGCATATGTTTTAGAAATGTTTAAAAAGATTAGCAAAAGAATCAATATATTGCAATTAAAAGGAAATTAAATTAGAGTGAAATATTGATTTTAAGATTAAAAAATTTTGTTTTTGGTACAAGATCAAAACTTTTATTTTAAATTAAAAGAAGTCTAATACAATATTTTATAATATACATAATTCCGTATAAGATTTGGGTATTTAAAAAAAATATATCTATAAATTTTTAACATGATCAAAAATATTTTTAAAATTTATCAATATTTAATTTTTTTCTCGAATAATTTTAAAGACACACTCCTCACATCAATTTAATAAATTTAAGATTTTTAATTCGAAAGACTCCTTCGAATCCTAATTTATGCTTGAATTTTAAATTCTTAGCACATACTCTATCAATTTGGGGGAGATTTTTATTTGAAAAGTGATCAAATGTATTTACCAATCTATCACATACAATTGAGTTAAATGACTCTAATCCTTTGACTTTTTTCTAGAGAGAAACTTTATTTGGCAAAAATGGGGTCTCTAATTGCACCCATAGATTTTTTTTAGGTTCACATCAAATTTTTTAAAGTGGCCAACAAAATGATTTAAATCATCATCATCACTTATATCCCAAACCCACAAGGATTTCATAGAATTGTTGCCTTATTTGAAACAATTCATTTTCATTCATAAAATCATTATAAACCATTGAAATCATTGTGCAGTCATTTAAGAAGA